TTTTCAGAAATTTCTGGGCATCCGGAACGGGGAGGGGAAATCAGAAAAGGCATGGTATATACAGCATATTTCTGAATTATTTCTGATTTTTTTTCTGAATTCTGATCTCCCGCTCCTAGGGGAGCATTTTCAGAAACAATCATAATTCACCCCGAAGCAAATTCAGAAAATGAATCAGAGATTTTTCACAGACCAGAAAAATAATCAGAAACTTTTTCAGAAATATTTCAGAAAAGAATTCAGATCCGCATTTGCTTGATAAGCCAGAGGTGCCAGTTACTAGGCTAGGTGTGGCCACCATTCCTTTTTGGATGGCCGTGCTGCCCGTCACCGTGGCCTCAACCATCCATGCCTTTGCGGGTGCGATGATTGGAGCCTACTTCATGCCTTGCGCGTGTGCCCTCTTTTTTCGCCCTGGAGGCGCATATGGGTGCAACGGTTGCCAACTCTTAGCTGCAACTGGGATGTACTGTCTGACGACAGCCTTTTGCGGCTCGTCTTTGCGCCGCAGGAGATGGGCAACACGCGTTCATCTACGATTGCCCATGTGCTCTTCGTTGCAAGCGTCTGCCGAGCGCAGCGATCTTTGCTTGAGGGCTTAGAGTCTTAGAGCCTTGACGCGGCTGTTGTACCATCACTCCGTTGTATATACGTTTTCTTCTTGCTGCTCTCAGCAGTGGCGTCGTGATGCTCTTTCGTACTGATGTTTGCTTACTTCCTTACTTCTTTTTGTACCAGGACGTATGCTGCTGACGTGGCCCATTCTGTCTATACACATGATTTGTTTCACTTTTCTGTAGTTGCTGACCGCAAGTCGGTTGTTTCAGGACTCATGCTGCTCGTCATCGAGAAGGCGCAGATTCGTCTTGCAATCCGCGTAGTTGCCTTGCAGCTCCGCCGATGTTACCGGGACCACCTCTGCATCCAAGGTAGGATCCAATATGGCTGAAAGATCTGAAGGTTTTATGTTTCGTCGGACCTTGTTCCTCCGCTGCGATGGGTGTGTCCCGCGCAGTCGCCGGAAGCGCGGCAGCGCCGTCAGGGCAGCAGCAACCGGCTGGTATTTTTGTTTTTCCTCCTCGCACCGTTTTCCTCCGCCGCGATGGGTGTCGCGAGCGGCTAGGAGCTGCGGTCAGCGGGGGCGCGGCAGCGCCGTCAGCGCAGCGGCCACCGGCTGGGGCGGCGCTTCAGCGAGGACCTGGTGAAGGTTGGGACCATCCCACTGGCTGGGGTGGGGCACAGGCCAGGAACAGCCCAGGGCCGTGCTGGCGACGGCCGCTTGTTGGAGCGCGCCCTGGCTCCACCGTCCACCCACCTCGGATCCGAGAACCACCAGTGTCGTGCTCAGTTCCGGGTACGCGTCGCGCTTGCGGCGCTCCGCTACCCGCAGGACTGCGCCGTCCGTCACAGCGGCGCCGGGCTGCGGAGCCCGTCCGGGTCAGCGGGCAGACCAGACTGGCGTCGCAGCACAGCGTGCCGCCCAGAGGCGCCCTAACCAGCTTGCACAGGTTTTCCGCAGACTATCACAGACGTAAACACAGCCAGCCCTCACCAAATAGGAACATCCTTCCCCGAATGTCAGGATCCGCATACACAGGAATGCTTCGACATGCTACAAGTACAAGATCCCGACGAAAACACAAAACGACAACGAAACATCGTGGACTACGTCTCATCAGAGGTACTCCACGACCTCAACAAAACGCCCGAACACCAGCAACAACTAAAACTCGTAATGCATGGACCAGAAGGAAGCGGCAAATCAGTGACTCTGCGAGCAATAGCACACCAACTTCGACAAGCTGGCGTCGAAATCGTCATAACCACACCCACTAGAATAATAGTTTTTGGGTTTCTTGCTTTTGCCCGTTCGAGTCAAGCTACGGTCCTATAACGCCATGGGACAGGTTGCTGGAAAAAAGCGTTCGCGAACTACAGGTATTTCCATTTTCACTTTGAACATTTCTATGTACTCAGCTTTTTTGAGCTTCCATCGCTCAGCATCACATGCAAAACAAAGCTTAGACTGCATAACGCATGGATATCAGCTCGAAACCCGTTATTGCCGAAACGAAATTGCCGAAATGGAACCACCCCCCCCCCCCTGTCGGCATGATTAGAGTGATGCATTCACATGGTAGTGTTCAACCAAGTACCTCTGCCACAAGACCAGAAAACCCCCCCCCACCCTCAAACAATAGCGGCCCTCGCACCCTCCGAGAGCCCCCTCGCCTTTCTTAACGACCTCTACGTTGTCACCAATCGGGACTGTGCCAGGGAGTGACGCACTCAAGCACACTTTTGACGCGCCCTCGCAGCTTACGGCATAGGCTCGTCGCACGCTCCGGCAACTTAGCGCTGCCGGCATCACTTGGCTTGAAAGCGCGGGCGAGCGCTCCGCCGCTGCGGGCGCTTGGAAAACAGGCAGCGTGCCACACCAGGAAACCCAGTGGGCGGCTTTGCGGGCAACAGGGGCCAGGCACTGGGCAACTGTCCATGGTCCCGGACCCGGGGAAGGTGGTTGGCCCGCGCCACGCAGAAATACGCAGAACGGGAGCAGGAACCATGCTTCTGCAAGCTGGACAATGGCGGGCTGCTGCTGAGCGAGCTAGCGGTCATGCTGCGCACTTTGATTTGATATCTTTCTAATGGGGCCCCTTTCCGTCTGTCCACGCAGTCCTTGCGCAGTGGCTCCACAAGCGAGGGCCTGAGACGAGGGGGGGCCACAGTAGGCTTGCCGCAAAGGCAGTGGCGAAAGCAAGCAGGGGGCGGCAGGACGGCTGGATCGTGGCACAGAGCGGGCACGGCAACGCGCGAGCAGACGCACGAAGCGGGCAGCTCCAAGCTTCCACCTCCCACCAACCTCAAATGAGGCGCGAGTGAACTCGGGGTAGGGGCGGAGCTTCGCGTGGTGCGCGATTCGGAGTGCCGCCCCAGCAAAGCTGCCGCCCCCGCAAGAGAGATTGGAGACACCAGGCTGGTGTCGACGGCGACCTGAGCGCCGCCCCAAATGGGAAGGCCATTGGCGATGACCTCAATCCGCCGCTCATCCTGGCGTGCTGCATCAAGTTTGAGGTGGGGATATTATAAGGGTGTTACCGTCATGAAAGTGATTTTATGAGATTTAATAGAGAACGAATGAAACACAATTAAAATATAAGTGAACGCAGTGAAACGCATGATTTTAATGTTTGCATGAGTGAACGGCCCGCGGTTTTAGTATTCACGTGTCATGTTGTTACACCATTAGTATTAGTATCCTCGTTCTCACCTTCACGCCCCACCTTGCGATCACCAGGAATTACCAAGGATTACCAAGTGATTTGAAGTCCTTTGTCTCACTGTGTTCTAATGATTAAAGAAAGACGAAGTGAATAGGATAATTAAAATGCAAGGAATGAAACGAAGTGAAGAGACGCGCGATTTTGAATGAACGAAAGAACGAAGTTAATTTGGGGTCTTAAAGGGGGCCCAGGTGGCCGTCGACACCAGGCGGCCGTCGACACCACCCTGGTGCACCCAGTCGCGCGGGCTAGCAGCGCACAGCCGAATGCCGATCGTGTTAAACCAAACAAATTCCGTACTAATCCCAAATCAATTCGTTTGCGGGGCCTGGTTCTTTCAGTTAACCTTGTGTGTCCCGAACAAGTCCGGCTTCCAACCAGGCTCCGTAACCTGCTGCTTTGGAGGGGCGTGCCATGCGAAGCGGCGCGACAGGCGGTGCCTGCGGTAGCGCAACTGCCCGACTCGTGCCGACAGGCCGCGGTGCACGCGGCGCTCACCTGTCTGGGTGGGGGCCCTGCTCCCACTGCTGGGGGTGGCTTTGTGTGGGGGCGGTCCCTTGCGGGCTGATGCTGTCCTTGTTCTGGTCGCGGCGTGCCATGCGCGAGGCGGTGCCCCAGGGATGGACCACAGCAGCGTACTTGGCTTTCTGGAATTATTTACTTCTTCTTAGTGGGAACGCGCGCTCGCTCGAGACGCTTTTCTCAGACCTTGACCCCGCGTCTCGGGCGCTGCTGTCACAGGGTGGTGATGCGACGAGTTGCGCCTTTTCGACTACCCCCTCCGGCCCGGACACGGCTGTGCCTGATGCAGTACCAGGTTCTCCTGCTCCGCAGGCTGCGGCCATTGGCCCCTAAACGCTGCTCTTGCGGACGCCTCCTGGACGACCTCGCGGCCACCGCTCCGCCTGCGCCCAAATCTGCGCGTTGGCCCGACGGGCGCGCCCGCTGGAGCGCGCGGTAGCTCGAATCTGCAAGGAGGCGGAGACGCGGGTTACGGCCTCCCCTTTTGGCAGGGCACCCAAGTCGCGGTTGAGGCGACAATTGTCAGTCCGGTCAGACGTGACGGTAGCGCGCGACAAGCGGTTTAGCCCAGGATCTTGTCCATCGTTTACCTTCCCCAAGCTTCTTGTATCTGCTTCTGCTTGATACGAAAGTTTATCTCCCTCAGGCTGCATCTGTGTCCATGCCATGACACGGCCCCCATTTCGAGCAGCACAGCGCTGACTATCATCGGCCATCGCTCGAACACTCCTCCCGTGTTGCGCCGTCGTGATGACTTCACCAGATTGATGAATGATGACGCGACCGTAGTCAGAATTCAAAGCAGGAAATGGATTGAAAGACCTGGTCAATGGTATCACGTGTATCACTTCTGAAGAACTGCGCAGGAAGACAAGCTCGGCAAGTTTTTTCTTTCAGGGGGCGCGCCACTTCCAAAGCCAACCAGCAAAGACCGAAGTCTGCCGGACACTAAGAGACAACAGCGCATAAGGCCCGAGACGCACGTGATGCCGTCATCTCACAAGGCCCTATACAAGTGACGACAGTAACTTTGACTGCGTTTGCCCCATAGTACGAGAGGCCACCGGCACCTGGCAGAAGCTCTCCTCAACTATCACCCCGCCTTCCAACCCTTTTTTCCCCCCCAAGCCCTCCTCTCCTCCAAAGTTCTGAGGATCCCAACTTGCCTGGCCTCCAGGATCCCCGGGTGCAGCCTCACCTTCATTCGCACTGCATTCACACGGCCCAACAGCGTTGAAACATGACGCTGGTGCTTGCCAAGCTCAGCCGGCCAAAAAGCGGCCCAGCTGCCAGAGGGCTCTTGGGATTCGTCGGACCCCTGTATGTAGGACGCCCAGAAGGGACCGTAATTTAGTGCCGATAAGGTTTCGGGGCTTAATGGGTTAGAGTCCCCCGCCTTGCAGTGGGTGAATGCTTGCGTCTGCCGGGTCTCAAGGACGAGAAGCCCCATGGCCTGGAGACCCCCCAGCCAACCACAGACACCAACACTGCAGTCAGAAGTGCATGCCTCCTGGGCGGAGGTGAGAACGGCTCTGGAAGAGGAGCTTCGAGAACCTGATGCAATACGAGCAGCGCACGGTTCGCCAGCGAGGTGGACGGATGGCGTGAGAAGACAGTTCACCCTCACGCCACGCTCATCCTCCCATGTCTCCCCATACATATGCTGCTCATCTTCCGGACCAAACACCTCTAGGCTGGGCCACCGTTCTCGTAGCGGCCGTATCAGGCTTAGGGAAGTTCAAGCTTACAGGGTTTCACCAGTCGACGTTAGGAGGCTGATTTCCCAGTACTGTGTTTCAGGTATCTCATGGTATCTCATTGTCACTCTTCGCGGTTAATTGTCATTTTGGGTCTGAGGCCAGAGACACAAGAGCAGTACGTTTCAGATTTGGCAGCGCCCGAGCGGCTTGTTCAGGGATGGCGGGGTTTTGATGGGCTTTGATGGGTCTTGTGTGGGTTGGAGTCTTGGGGTTTTAAGTCCGCAAGGCTCAAAATCTAACGCTTATAAACTTCGGCCGCGCTTCGGAAGCTCTTAAAAGAACGGGGCCTTGGCAGCCGGCGCCGGCGCATCTCGGCGACCTGCTGCGCAAGGTACGAAGACAGGGCTTTAAAATTTCGGCTGCGCTAGAAGGGACCCTTAATCTTATTCCCTGTATCACCCCTATGTATAACTTATATAGTCCCGATATACCTAAGTAGCCCCTAATATCCAATTATCGACTTACTACACTCCATGGAGACCTTCTGCCCATCGACATCAACGCTGTCTGATCAGCCGGAAGCTTGAAGTCGGGCAAGTGGCCAAATGCCCGGGAGCGTATCGGCACGGAGGATGCTCTTGAGTTCCGACTGGACTCCTGCAACTATGTTCGTCAAGTCGCGATGTCGAACGACTGCGTTGCTGCACAGACTCTGCGGGAGCATATGCGCGCGCGCAGGTTTTGTCTAGGCTGTTCCAGCGAGGCGTCTTTCAGGCTGCGGCGCTATCCCTTTGATCGCGCCGAGCACAAACAAATTGCACCTCTAAAGCTTTTGTCAGCCTTGGATTTGGACACTGTCGGAGCCGCATGGCTTGGCCATGGGGCACAGACAGCCTCTTAACGAAGAAAGGCTGCTTGCAGGTCGCAGGTCTCCGGCACTTCAGCGCCTCAACTGGAATGTGCGTGGATGGCAAGGGCCCGCTTCTTGGCAGCTTCGTAAAGGAGCTTCTCCTCCCCTGCCAACTCTTGGATCACGGCCATGTGGCTGGCCGGGATCTCGCAGTCTTTTGGGTAGGAGTTCGTGTTCAACTTCTCCTTCTTCATCTGCCAAAAGACCTGCTTGAACTGGGGAAAATGCTTCACAGCTGCCGAGTAAGTGTCCTGCTTGTCGACCAGGATCGGCACACAGGAAGCAAGGTTCTCCAGCGTGTTGTTCCAAATCTGCATGCGAGCCTTCTTATCATTGGCATCGGCATGCGTCTGCACACCGCACTGACCCAGTCGGCGGAAAGGTTCGTTCACGCAGCCATAGTTCACGAGCAGGGTCTTGAGCTTCTTGGGATCCAACTTTGCCATGCAGAAGGGGGCCACTTTCTTCTTTTCGACCAACCGCTGCATGTAGCAGGACGTAATCCGGGCCACAGGTTCTCGAAAGTTGGTGAGGCACGAGACCTGCTTGCCGGACAAAGAAGTCATCATCTCCCGCCAACAGAACTGGCCGCCGTACACCGAAGCATCTGTAACCTGGTTTTTGAATGCTCGACAGTCAACGCCTCCAGAACACTGAATGTGAGGCTTCATCTTGAGACTCAGCGACGTGTTGTACAAGAGCTTTCGCAGGGTTGTGCCACCTGCCCTGTGCTGATGCATGAACACCAGAGGCCTTGTCTCGGACACAGCTTCGTTCTTTGGAGGCAGCGGCTTTTGAAGAAAGTTTTGGATCATGGCAGCCACATAGTCTGTTTGATTGCTCCCTTCACCCTTGGTGGCCTTGGAGGCCGTGGCCTTGGAGGCTTTGGATGCCGTGGAGTGGACTGGCAGCTTCGCAGCAGCAGCAGCAGCTTTGCCCGGGCTCTTCACGGGCGTGGCATCAGCCTCTGCCAGGGCAAGCCCGGAGTCGAGGTGGGACCCGATCTCCTCTGGTGCAGGGGTAGCAGAGCTGCCAAAGATGTCTTCGAAAGTCCACATTTCAGTGCCTGCAGCCACCCCAGCGCTTGACTTGCTGGCTGTCTTGGCACCAAGCTGCATTGCACACTGGCTGTCAGTCTCACCTGCAACCCCAAGTGGCCCAAGTGCGAGCACAGCGGCTGATGTCCATCTTCGAAAAATGCCCTTCATGTCGACAGCAGCGTTTGCTCCGGATAATCGGTTCAATAAGCTGTTGAGTTGAGCCAAGCGATTGCATAGGGCAGCAAACTCCGACCACAGCCAGATGCTAGACTGCGATTGGAACATGTGCTGCAGCACCTCCTTGCAAGGCTCCAGCAGGGCCCCGGCCTTAGGCAGCCGAGTGCAACAAAGGCTTCCCGCTGCAATCATCGGCATGTGCAGTCGGCCCCCGGTCGAATGCAGATATAACATATTGCTCTTCACTCTGGATCCCTGGAATCTATGGGCGCGGCTTCTGTTGCCTCAAATGCATTGGGCCGGGTCTGGTTCGCTGAAGCCTTGCAAAACGCCGCTAATGGGGTTTCCCGGCGCGCTATTTGGGACGTCTGTGTCAAGGGGATAATACTATATTTTGGTGTAGCTTCCCTTTTATGAGAAATACCCAAGTTCTGGGATATACCCAAGTTCCGGCAAACACACACTCCAACCCGCCTTCGACGAGCTACTCGCCCCCTTGCCTGAGCCATGGCGTTCGACAATTCAAGCGTGCCGTGCAAGATGCTTGCAGAGAAAAAGGTTTCAAGGCTCAACAGTGGTCAGGGCCCCATCTGGGCCGCCAGTCTTTTAAGCCAGAAAGGTCTCCCAAACTCTTGAGAATCTCTCTCCTTTGCGTGCCAACCTCATCCTGGACCCACATGGAGCAAACTGCAACATGCCTCCATTCTCACCTAGCACCACGTTCTAAAGTTTGATCATGATCTGAGTTTGGGCACTGTCCTGGCCAACACACTCCACATCACTCTACACATGCCTTGCACGAAAATGATCGGAACTGCCGCGCAGGCACATGCACTGTATTACTTACCACCTAAGCCCCAGTTCTTACGAGTATGAGCCTACACCACAACCGAATGAAGAGACCTACAAAGTCCTGTCGCACAATGATAAAACCAAACCTTCAACCCTCAACGGCCCAATCGTGCACCTCGGTGCAGGCTCAGGGTGACCTTGATGATCAAAGGAGGGGGGTCTTTTGTGAGGCCTCTGTGGGCTGGGGCAAATTATTGCCTCGAAAGCCTTAAGATATGATGAAGGCAGTCCCCGTGGCAGGCTGACCTGCGCCATGTCTCAAGACGAAGTCTCAACCACCCCCTTGCAGTTGTGAGAGACCTGAAACTCGAAACCGTAAACCCTGCAAACAAAGCCCCTGGCCGACATGACCACCCACAACCGAATCCCCCCCACAATGCCAAACTCCGAAACTCCGAGGCCGAAGCTGCAGGTGGCCGGACCTTGCTGAAGACCTTCTGCGACTTCTTCGCGAAGGACCTGGAAAACACGGGGGAACGGCATCGTTCGGCATCGTTCCGCTTCGGCTTGGGATGTAAAGGAAGACTTGGTAGTGTCTGTGATGACTCGGTTGGCTGCAAAAGTGGAAGTGCCTCAAAGCTAGGGCATGAGAGGCTGTGTTCTTGCCTCCACTCTTCGGTAGAAAGCCCTGTCTGCACAGCTGGAGTGGAGTCTGGTGTTCGTTGCATGGCAGGGGCCACTGCACTAGTTTTCAGTTGGCATATTTGTTTGGTTTGAGATCCGGATGCTGTACTCCCGAAACGTCATCCATGGCCAGCGACGACAAACCCGTAAACTTCCCCAGTCTCCAGTCCTACCGATCAGCAGCGGAAAAATACCAAGAACCTACTTTGCCCGGCTTTTCCTGCCGCTTTGGTACCGAAGTTCCTTGGCCGAGGCCCTGTCGGGCAGGGCTAAACGCGCCGCACCCAGTGGACCCCGATGCGAAGTCTTGAGCGCCGTGCTTCAGCTGGGACGTCGCCCCGGATGCCTTGGTGCTTCCAAATGGAAAACAAAGAGGATTCCAGCTCTCTTTGGGACTTCGGCCTTCATCTGGAGGGGCCCCTTGGATGCCCCATAAGGCAAGGTACATTGGCCACTTTTGGAGCCTCAGGGCTTTGAGCTGCGCGAGCTGCAACCGGAGTCAGTGGATCTGCTGGAACGCGCGGTGCCGGAAGGGTGGCCTCCCGAAACAGAGAGGTGTACAGGGCAGCGATGACCCGGGCTTGGGAAGACTTGGGAGGCCAAGCCCCGTGCAACATGCAAACCCCAAGAGATCCTACGAGGCCTACGACCAGAAAGACGCAGGCTAAAAACCTGCTTTGCAGTGATCTGCTGAGCGAAGCAGAGCGAACCCATGCATTGCACCGTGCCTCCCAAAATGCCAGATCCACAACTTTGGCGGGTCTGGATTTTGGCGTGCCACCATCCGGGCCTCCGGTACGGGAGAGATGCACCTCTTGCGCCTTCTGTGGGCAAGCACCCTAAAGTACAGCTCGGCTTGAGAGTAGCTGCTTAATGGGTGAAGGCCGAGTCGGAAAAACGAGTCGAAAACGATAGGGACCAAAGCAGAAAACGAAGAAGACCGAGTCAGAAAACAGCAAGGCGTGTCCTAAAAGGAGATTGTGGATTCGGAGAACCCTAAACCCCAAAAGGAGATGTTGGTTGCCAAACCCTGAACCCCAGAAGGAGATGTTGGATGCGGAGAACCCTGAACCCTGAAGGAGATGTTGGTTGCCAAACCCTAAACAGGCAGCACACAACCGCCTGAGAGAGAACAGGCTCGGGGCTTTCTGCCGGAGGCTTCGGGGTGTTTTCGACTCACGTCTGTCAAGGCATTTTCTGCCCGATCTGGAAGGTCTTCGACTCGGGGCTTTTGCGTTCTCGACTCGCGAACCCTGACTCGAAAAAAGTTTCTGACTTGACCCTCACTCGCTGCTAGCTCACAGGCATGGAGCGCCTTCTTTGCATGGAAGGAAGCGGCAATGGGTCGTGCCGCCTCAACTCACCGTCATAACAAGTTCTTCGATTCCGGCAACTCAGCTCTGTGGAGCCTGGGGATCCGCACGGTCAAGGTCCCTCTCCAAGAAGCAGCTTGGCAAAGTGCCTCGCCCGCTGCTAGATGCCGGTGTTGTAATCGCTTGCTCCAGGTCACTGAGAAGGCGATTGGTAACCTCAGAGACCCCAGGATCGATAGAATGCAATCAGTCGCGGACACCAGAAGCCTAAAGGACGCTTGTCGATAAATGTCCCTGTCGCCCCTGCCCAAGCCTTGAAGTCCAGGGCGGACTTGACCAGTGCCTGGCAGTGAGAGAAAGCGAAAAGGCCAGCCTTCCAGCTGACTTCTCGTCTTACCAGACCGATGGACAAGAGGTACTGCGACAATTTTATGCGTTACTTCGGCCTCCGGCGAGAGCTCCGACAGCTGGCAAAGGCAGCGCAGCCTGGAGATTGCATTTTCAGAGGCAGTGAATGGCCCAAGTGACCTCCAAAGAGGCCTCTGGATGGTGCAGTCAAAAGATTGCCCCAACAGCGCTGGCCGGGCCTGCAACAATAGCTCAAGAGCCGCAGCGGAGCCCATGTACCATTCAGAGAAGAACAGACGGCTGTGAGGCAGCATCGGAAAACAACAACCGTAAACGCAAATCTGCTGTCTCGCTGGGGCCATCCTGACAAAAACTGCACTTACACGTGTTGCATCGTTTTGGGGGCGTGGCCACACTGCAAAAGGAACTTCCAACGGCCTCCCCTAAAGCAGCTTCTCTTGGGTTTCGGGTCATGTGATTGGCCAAGTAGGTATGCTGGCCCAGGCTGCATCATGCTCCGCGAATCACACGGTGGCAACGTCAACATCGTCAAACTTGTCATGTCAGAAAGTAAGAGGAAGGAGAAGAGCGCAAAATCATGCGGCCTCTCTCATGAGCGCGAGCCCAACTCGATGTACAAACCTCAGCTTCTTTCAATGACACTGCGATGGCTAGGTGATATGATGTGCCAGGGCAAGATACTGCACTTTCCTGATACTCTGTTTGTTTTCGCATGCGCCATCCAGCTCGGGTTAGCCAGAAGGGATGCCCAGCCATGGTCGCGACTGACAAGTGGGACGGGAGGCGGCTCTCCGCAGACCGCACGATGCTCACCTCCTGCGATGCCTAGGTCACTGGTGCTCCACTGTGTCCCGCGCCTTGCTCTGTATCTCCTTCGGGGTTGTACGATTTGTGCGCCGCGAGGATTTGTACGAAGAGAGGATATCTCTCATATCCTCACAGGATATCCTCTCAGTGCCCATCAGGCTGGATCTTGAGAACTGCATCTAGATCCTGCCTTGGTTCTGCCATTTTGCGCGACATCAGCTTGCAGGTGAGAAGTTGCAGGCACACACTAAGCCACCAAGAAGCGGAACTCCGTACATGCAGCCATCGCGAGCCAGCACGCCTCCTTGAAACTTGTTCCAACCTCGGTGAACAGAACGAGCACATCCATCATTGTGCCAGGCACAATGGACATCATGTGGAATGTGGACTCTTTTGGACCAGCGGCCGGGAATTGGGTCGCCGCTGACGACGGACACCTTACCATCCTTGACTCTCAAGACGTGCTGGGCCCATCCTCGTTCAGCATGGCTTAGAGTTTAGGGCGAAAGAGTTCAAGCTTCGCAGCTTCGTCTTTCATTGCACCATAAAGAACACAACGCTTGATGAAGCGAAAAGACTCTCGGGATGAAGTACACAGCTCCATCCGGCCCAAGCACGCCACCCTGCCACATGTTCCTTCCTTTGAGTGGCACCTCAGCATGCAAATTCAATCATGGATTGATGGGAGAATATGTGAGAAACCAACTGAATTCACGCTCACAAACAGTACGGAGACAACGGCAAATTACTTTGACACGTGCGATTCCAATCTTGAGACAAGGGTACGTCGATCAACTCGACGTCCTCCACCCCGGGAGAGATCCTCACGTGCATCACATGTGCTTTGGCAGAACGATGCAGAACGTCACCAACATGCGGCACAAAAAGGCGTGTCGATACTGCTGAAGCTTCGCATTGCTATGGGGCCCCGGGCTCCCCTCGAAAACAACTCCACAGCGCCCGCAGCCCCTCTTTCATTCATTTTGCAGGTCCTCAAAGGGTCCCTGAACTACAGGTAGCTCGCCCCTATATCGAGACTGGGAGAGCGGGTCACACAGGGCTTGCAAGCTACAGCAAAGTGACAAAGAAGGTTCACCCAAACTGCCCAAACAACCCATGATTGAGCCCGAAGGCTGCACTGGCATGCCAAAAATGAGCCAATTCTCTTCATGACCGTCTGCGCGTTGTACGGGATGCCGTAGATGCAGCCATCGCTGCCGAGTACAGCGCCAAGCCACTTGTACTTCCCATGAAACGGGCCTCCTGAGCCGAGAAACCCGTGCTTTCTGCGTACTCTTATTTACCTACAACATCCTTATTTGCCTGCTGATGGTGCGGTCACGGCATCTTCAACAAAGCTGCTTTACATTGCTATACCCTCAGAAAGATTCAACTTGCAATTGCAGGTCCTATGGTCTTGACCTCGCCAGTGGCAGGAACGACCTTCAGAACTGACTCTGCATGAGCAGGGATGCCATATATGGCTCCATCCACGCCCACAACGCCGCCGTGCCAATTCCAGCTGCCATCAGGCAAGTTGCCGATTGTCGTCACTTTGCCTGGCAAGGCTTCCGGCTTCCAGAAAGTATAGCAGCATTTGTGCTCACTCACGCCTCTGAGTCTCCATACTCTACAGCGTCACATGGTTTTATTTCCACGTTTTTTTGAGCATGCTTATATAGATGTGCTTGAGGCATGGCAGCTGACGCTTCGACAAATCGCTTCGTGTCACGGATACCAAGCCTGATATCACCAAAAAAATGACATGCCGAAAAAAAACAAGCCGAATGCGTTTGCCCAAGTTGTGCACCTGTCTCGGGGCTTATCTTCAGCACGCTGTTAGCATGGTAGGGCATGCCATAGATGCAGCCGTCAGAACCCAATAGACCTCCATACCATTTCCATCGTCCAGGCATTTTGTCCCCTATGAGCTCGGCAGTGTCGCTCTCAGGATCAATTCGCAGAACCGCTTCTGCTTCAGCTGGAATGCAATAGATGGCCCCATCTGGTGCAACAACAGCCCCATGCCATTTCCACTTGCCCTTGGGCAGGCAGCCGAACGTACAAACCTCCTTCGTTGCAGGTGAAATCTTTAGAACCGACTCTGCTCGGGCTGGAATACCGTAGATGTTGCCGTTGCCTGCCATCAGACCCCGTGACCATTTGAATGTGCCAGTGTCTGGGAAGGCTCCGAACGTAGATATCTCATCGTCTTTTGTGGAAATTTGTAGGACCACATCTTTGTTGCAAGGTATACCTGATTTTTGCCGAGCATGCGCTAGTGACCGCTGGTGACCCTACATGACCCTGGGACCCGACCAAAAGTGGTCATTGCTTAGGCTCGTTTCGTCCGTGAATTGAAGACCGGATGCAGTAGATGTTGTCGTCCAGGCCTAGCACACCTCCCAGCCACTTATTCTTTCCAGACAACAGCTGGCTGCCCTGGTGAAGGAGACTTGCGTGAGCACGACAAGAGGTCCTCACCAAGCCCCAAGCGTCTGAAGTTTTGCATTCCGTGAATCCCTCTCCCCAACCTGCACCGCAAGAAAGCTCCGCAATCAGGTCGACCCGAAGCAACACGAAACTCCAAAGCACCAGGCTAAACCCTCAAGCACCCCAAACCCCGTTCGCAAACTTAAGCATACTTTAGCAGGGCCGGCCTCTTGGCACGCCTTTGCGATGGGTGGTAAATAAATGTCCGACTAGGACCCCAGGCCACGGCGTGCAGTCCAAAAACCAGGGCTCCAAACTTCAGGGCCGTTGATACTGGCACTGCCGGCAGTTTCTTCCTCTTCTTCCGGAGAGCTGGGCCCAGGATGGATGCAAGCATGTCTGCATCATGCGTATTCAGGGGCGGGCTATGGGCGGCTCCTATGCGTGAGGCCTTGAGCCCAGCACAGCTGATGGCAATCAAGTCACGCATCTCTGCACATCTCTTCGCCTTGGAGCTTCTGAACCAGCAAACCTTGCACATCCGTGCTCTCGTGAAAACTGCGAGCGTGGTCTGCAGCAAACGTCGCACCCGAGATCCCAGCTTCATTCCACGGCACAAGAACTGATCCCAAACCTGTGCTGCATGTCGCACACGGGCCCTCATGCCTGACTGCATCTTCGTAGCGTTACCCGTGCTCGTGTCACAAGCCAGACTCATCCAAACTCTGTGTGGTGACGGTCACTGCGAGCAGGCACTGAGGTTACCACCCTGAGCAGTTGCGGAAAAGGAAGTGAGTAGGCGAAGAGTGTCAAGAACCTTCCGAGAATGTCACAGGATGTCACGGCATGTCTACATCGCAGATACGTGTGCCGCGAAGGCACTAGTGAATATGCTGCCTTTTCACCCGAAGGGTGGCAACAAGCGAAAGCTGGAAGCAGCTTCTCGCAGCGACTGGCACGAGGTTTCCACAAGGCGGATTGCTTTCCCTGCTACGCTCCACCCGAATCTTGCGAGCAGGCTGGCTTTGTTTGTTCACAGCCGTCCGCCAACTCCTGTGCATCCCTCGATTTCCGGTTCAGCGTCGGTGCCTTCTGTTTCGATTGGCTGGCATTGTAAGGTCAAATGTGGGTCTTGGGAGCCCGGCAGACAAGGGCCAGGCATGAGAAGTTGACCTCACCCTCTGTGAAGCCCGAAATGGACTGAAACCCAAACCGGAGCAGTTACAACCCTTGGCCCGGCCACTGCGTCGCATAGAACTCGGCACTGATGTTGAAGCGATCAAAAGTCGCCGCAAGATCCGGCAAGTAAGCCTGATCGAGATTGGCAGTACGTCACGGGCAGCGTGCGCTGATGACTTCCGAAGCTCTTCACATCTGCGCACAATACTCCAGGCCAGCTGGCAAAGAGACATACAAAAGCATAAAGCGAGAAAAGAGGGAGGTGAGAGGTAAACACGGATTGAAAGACAGAATGATCGCAAAAGACACAGGAAGAGGCGGACACACAAAACGGAAAAAACATGGCAAGTAGCAGATACTCGGCTGTATGACAGCTTCCATAAGAACAGACCAATTGGCGCCAGATCTTCTTTTTCCGCTGCACTCTGGGCTGCTTTTCAGGCCCACATCGCCGAGACCACAGCAGAACAAGGTCCTCTTCTTTTTAAGACGACCCCAACAGCCCCGAAGCTCAATCACCTTGCTGAGGAAGCCTAAGCTCTAACCCTGTCAACCCTCTCATAAGCCCTGTTCTCCTTGTAATCGCTATGGCATTCCAGCAGCCCGTGTATGAACCCTAACCCCACATGAACCCATATAAACCCCCCCCATCACCCCATACGTAGACCCCGATAAACCCCCATAAACCCCTATAAACCAATTATGAACCCCTATAACATCGCACTCTAAGCCCCAACCCCGCGAGAGGTCACTCCCTGGTCACTCCTGGGTCTCGATCCTGGCCTCCAGCTCCTTTGCACCCCCCAGTCTTGGAGGCATCGTGGCAGCGTGTGCTTAGGGTTAGAAGGGGCTTCGGGCGTCGGACTGAGGATATAAAGGCCTCGGGCTTGGGGCTTAGGGTTTCGGGGGGGTTAGGGCGCAAGGAAAGGCCGACACTTCGCGTTCCTTACCGTACCTATACCAGAGAAGTCCCACCGATTGCGCATGTCTGTGGGAGCAATCTGCAGCAACCAGTGCAGCAACCAACCGTAATGCATGCGCAGATGTCGAAAGCTTGAACGTGACTTAGAAAGGCAGTGCACCACCAAGAACGCAACCTGAACTCAGTGCATTGGCAGCGATGGCGGTGGCTCTTGTTGAATGTTTATGCTTCATGCTGCAGGGTGAAAGTACAATCTCTGGAACACAATGTCTTTTCCTGTTTCTGTGCAGTCACACTCGTACATGTGCATCCTTCCGTACACTCTCATCGCACCGAGGGCCTCCCAGGCCCGCCAGTACGCAATCGTCGCGAGCGCAACCTCTGAAGTCACGGAATCCGCTTAAGGATGCCGAACACTGAGGGAGGGGGATGTCATCTGTTCACATGCGCTTGCCTCGCAACTCTGGGAGACCAAAACATCGGGGTCGGTGAGGTACCGGCCTCGGCAGCATCAACACGCTTACGACATGCAACACGCTTCGAGTTCGCACTTGCACAGAGCTCTGGCCAGGCTACAGTACAACGAGAAAGCATCGCGCCCATGTTCCGGAAGGCCCGCCTTCTCTGTTCTGGTCTGTCAGTCTATTGGAATCTATCCTGCAGAGGCACCGTGTTCAGAGCCTGTGCCTGGGCTTTGCAGGGCATAGAGTAGACTCTGTCTCCGCCACCGCGCATGAAGCAGCACCAGCATCTGCAGCCTGTCAGAGCCTGCCTACTGATGATGGAAGCAGCAGGCGACTTCAACACCAGCACATCTTATGCGAGTCCTATCGGTCCCCAAGTTCCCAGCGCGGCCTCCCGCTTTTCAGGAGATCGCGCGGGAGACCCGGAGACTTAGACTTACAAGGCAGAGCCAGCTTAGAGCAGCTTGAGGTTGGCCGGCTTCAGCGCCTTGACACCATGCTCCGGAAACTCCACTCGAACACGATCACCTTGCTCCCCCAGCACCTTTGCTAAGCATTGTGCTTTTTGTCGGCTAGTGTGCCTGCACTGGACCACGGATGGGGGACATGGGACAACCCCTGGGCGCAGTGCAAATCAGTCACCTTGCCCTGCAGGCCGTTGAAGGTCGGAGCTGAAAGGGAGTGGGCCTCGACCGTTGCCCCGACGGCAAAATCAAAAACGCCTCAGACTCCGAGCGGTGATTCTCGCTGGTGACGGGATTGAGGTGGGGCTTAAGGCTGAAGATTTAAGCTTCAGGGTGAGCTGCATCAAGCCGCATCATTCTTGGTCGGGCATTGCTCGCCGCTCGATGCCCCGACTCTGACTTCCTAAGTCCTACAAGCCAGTGGTGTGTATTCATGCATAGGGCGTGGGGCTAAAGCCCCAAGCTTGGGGCTGTTGCCCTCAGCCCAAACCTGACCAGACCCTAAAACCAAAAAAAAACCGAAACCTTAAACCCCAAACTCTAAATACCCCAAACGGTCACCTTTCGGCCCCCCTCTTTCCAAGCAGAATTCCAAGCTCTGGCTCCGCATCCACCAGCTTCAGATTGGCAGGCTTCAGCGCCTCTTCTGAACCCTCTGACTCCTCAACCATCCTCAACCCGAACCTGATGGTTTTTGACAGCCTTAAAGGCTGCATGAGGCCTTGGGGGGGGGGGCGTTTGTAAGGGATTCTTAAGGTCAGGTTTGAAGAGTAGGATTCCGGCGCCTGCAGTACTGAATTCGGAGCCCAAGAGGGTGGGCGTTTGGGGTCTAGGGGCCAAAGAGTTTTGGACATTTCAGGGTTGGCCTTAGAATCCTAACTTAACCCCAAGTTCCAGGGGGTCTAAGGCACCATCCCGGGGCCTTCTCGCCGTGCTCCGTGAGGGCAACTCGCAAGCGATCTCCTTGAGGCCCGAGCACTCGTCCCTGCCAAGACATACCAGTGGCAGCTCGCAGTCTCACTTTACTAATTTCTCGAAGTCTTGCCGACATGGCTGGACCTTGGGCGCCCGCAGAACCCAAATAAAAGCAAACTGTTCTCCAAGTGCAAGCAACTCATACGACTGTTGCGGCAGTTGAGCCGCGGTTCGCAGTGTTCGGAGTCTCTGCGCTCTTTTCAAGCAAGAGCGGCGACGACTTTAGGAGTGTGTTGTCTGGTCTGCAGATGTCTGCAGCACTCTTGCCGATTGACGACGTAAGTGGCCATGACATGCGGTTTTATCCCTCGACCTATATGCTAAGTGCGAGCCCAATCCCAACAAAAGAGCCCACAACAAATGTGCACTGTCTACACTTCAAGTACGTGAATGTTCTCCGAAGGCCTGGATGCCGTTCATGGTTTCTGTCGACAGCGAGTGTGTCTCGACCATGGCCCCAGCAGGGAAGGAGATCTCGAACGCACTGGCCTGCCGCGGAGATTGCTTTGCCGTGCGGGGCATTGGGCTGGCTTGCGGCTGGACGTGGCCAAAAGTGGCCAAAGAATGTGTGAGGTCACGTGAAAGGTCCTGCTCCAGCAATGACTTCACTTCATTCTTCCAGGGCTCGAGATATAAAGCCCAACAGTCGTTGTGTCCCGCACCTGATACAGTGGCAAGCAGCTCATGCAAGACGTGACTTGCCAAGCTAAATTGTGCTCGAACGATCTCGAACGTACGTTTGCTGCAAGATGCTTCGTTCACCGCCGAAGCAAGTATCTCACAAGTACCTCAAAAGTGCCTCACAAGCCTCGCAGGGTGTTGTTGTGGGTTTGCAGCGAACGCGCCTGTCCAGCATTGGAGCTTCTTACTCGCCGTGCCCAGCTTCTCATGGCACTGCACGGCCTGCTGGTAGGGGACGATCTCGTCCTTGTCCCCATGCATGATTAGAACGGGGCACCCAATGGAAGGAAGCTTTCCCAGCGTATCAAAAGGCTCCGGAAGCATCGCAAATTTCTCAGTTTGGCCTTGGAAGACCATTGGCGCCAACATACTGACAGTCGGAAGCTGCTTGATCGACATCAGGCCTGAGTCCACGATGAGACCATGCACCAAACGGGCTTGCTTGGCTGCCAGGTGCACGGCACAGGTCGCCCCGATCGAGCGGCCGAACATGATCCGCTTCCCTTGGATGCCGGCCGCCTGCAACAAGGCTTCACTCTGAAGAAAGCACTGCTCCGCATCCGGGCAGAGCTTCTTCAGGCTCGGCTGCCCCGTCCCCCAGGCAAAGCCTCGATAGTCCACGGACAAGACCGCGGCGCCGTTGGAGTGAAACATCTCCGCGACGTCGTCCAAGGCGGTGCAGACTTCGGCATTTCCGTGAAAGAAGTATATAACAGTTCGTACAGCTTTTACATCATCTGGGACGTATAGCCTGTAGCTGATCTTGATGCCGTCCGACATCTCGAAGGTGCCATCTCGTTTGGGGCCACTGGCGTCCAGAAACTGTGGCTCCACCTTGCTGGGGTGGAAGGCGATGCTGGTAACCATGGGATTCTCCCATATTGCCTCCAAGCCTCCAGCACCTCCAGCAGCACCCCCCAAAGCTCCTAACAGGCCCTCCAGGCCCTGACCCTGAAAATCCATGGCTTGCGTCCACTTGATCTCTTGTCTCGAAGCCCTACGAGCTCCCACTGAGCTCCCAAAAGGCTTCGGCGAGTGTGCCTCATGCTCGAGACTCCTTGCCCCATGCTCGAGACGCCTCTCTGTTCTTCAGTACACCGCACCCCTCTCCACTCTTCACTTCAACCCTAACGGGGACCTGAGGGTTTTGGTTTCTTACAGGGATGATATTGGAATTGTTTGTCTCACGGCTCTTATCCGCCAAGTACATAGTTGCAAACTGAGTTTCCGGCCAAGGGCCTTTTCTGCATGTTCTGTGCCGATGTTCCCCAAGGCGATGGCAGCCTCCAGAAATTCTACGATATGGCGCATCACAACTTCGACCCAACCAAGCTCTAGCAAGTAAGAGTATCAGTAGCACCACGTAGTCGCCCGTAGCATCCAAACTTCTAACACGGCTGGCAATTGTCTCGGTTGGTATTATTGCCTTGGAGCCTGAGTTTGGGGATGACCCCCAAAGTGCACCTTTTTCTGTTCAATGGGAGGCGGGCGGGCAGGCCGTGGACGCAGTGTGGTGGAGCGTGTTTCTAAGCCGCTGTGGCCAGAAAACATCAGTTATCTCAATTTGTCCATTCGCAGCCACCAGTTCCATTCCTCGATCCATGGTTCGACAACTTCAGCAGCTTT